AGAGAGAGAGAGAGAGAGAGAGAGAGAGAGAGAGAGAGAGAAGTTCCTTTATCAGTCCATGACCAGATTAAATTCTGTAGTTCTTTTTTTTAACTGGCTTCACTAACACGGACTCATTACTTGCAGCCTCTTCTGGTTGTCGTCTTGCTGCGCCTAGGCAACGGGGCCAAGTTCTTCTCTCCTTGTATCAAATCCAAGGGATATGTGAACCCTGTTTAACATGTGAATTGAACACATGAGCACATACAATTGAATTTAGATTAAAAATGAAAAGGGGACTGGGTTGCTGTTTCCAGAGACTGTACAATTTATGCTCTTAGCAGATGCTCTTTCTTCAGAATGACAAGTAAGACTGTATTCAGGAACTGCATTTGAAAGTATAGTGAAAGACAGGGAGCTCTCAGAGGCCTTCAGTGTTTCTTTCACAGTGTATGTCATTATGATGGATTTGTTTGAGATCAAATGCTCTGGGAACGAATGAGTGAGACTCCATTCACTCAGTTGGCCAAGGCAAATCACCTGTCTAGATGCTTACTTCAATTCTATGAGATTTTATATAGCTGAATAACGCATAAAAAAGACACACCCAATGTAACAGATATAAAGTAGAGATAGTTAACCCCCCAAAAAAAGAAAATACTGTAATTTTTGCTCTCTATCATTAGGGATGTGAATCATCACTGGTTTCACGTTTCGATTCGTTTACGATTGTCATGTCAACGATTCGATTCGATTTCACGATGCATCACGATACGTCAAATCCTCAATTTTCAATATTACGGCACATGGCTACATTTTCATATTCACTTCATATCAGATTTATTTTGTGCATTTTTATTAAATTATACAACCAGGCTTACAAATTAATAATAAATCAAAACAATTGCTAAGAATTTAACCAACTAAATATAGCTTCAAAACATACAAGCAAATATGATGCAAGTGCATTTAACTGCAGCCGCGAGCTTCAGGACAAACAAACACAAAGTGCACATGAAAGTCTGCCAGTACGTGAGTTTCATGCATCTAATACTCGCTTTGGTGTTTCGCTTCCCTCTGCCATTTTAATCTAACGTGACAAGCGCGTATGCAAATGACGTCAGTAGTAGTGCTGGGCGCTATACCGGTTCATACCGAATACCGGTGTTTATTTTTGTTATGATATGAATTTTTAAAATACCGCAATACTTTATTTTTAAAATAATGTTGTATGTCGCTTAAACAACGTTCGGAACGCGACACTGTTTGAAAGGGGTCCCTTTTCATTGTTGCACTGTGGTGAGGGAACAGCTGTATGTGTTACTAAGCGTGAAAGTTCAGAAACTGAAGCTGTAGAACTAATAGAACATGATGACACAGAAGAACTCATCACTGCAGTATTTCCTCTCTCAATCAGTAGAAAATATGGTTAACACCCGGTCATGCGTGAAAAAAAAAAATACCGTCATGTACCGTGAAACCGGTATAATTTTGAAAAATACCGTGATATAAATTGTTGGTCATACCGCCTAGCACTAGTCAGTAGGCTATAATCAATTATGGTCTATTACATCGATGCAGAATCGTCCATGTCCGCATTGCGATCTATCGTAGACACGATTAATTTCAATACCCGTACTATCATTTCATTCAGTAACCGTATGGCTTTCTTTCTTCTGCAGGACATACTTATGAGGTGAATTTTTGAAGAATAGTGAGTGAGTGCTGGGGCTATAATGTACTCATAAAAGTACTCCATATGACTTATGCAATATATTCCAAGTCCTCTGAAGCCATACAATAGCTGTGTGTGACAAACAGGCTGAAATTTAAGTCATTATTCACTACACATCACTAAACCACTGGGTTGAACTCAAGAAATGAATACCAGTGCTTTTTTTGTCATTTTATTTTTTTCATTTTGGAGTTTGACAGCCCTGATCTTCAATTTACTATTATTATATTGAACAGATCAGCCAGGATATTCTTTAAATAGGTCCCCTCTGTGTGCCCCACAGAAAAAAACAAAAACAAGCACAAACCCGTCTCTCAATCTGTCATAAGTGGTTGATATGACATGAATTTGAGCAAATAAATGTTTACTATTGGGTGAATTATGCTTTTAAATTCCCATAATTAACCAACAGTAAATGTGCTTTATTGTGATCAGACTGGCAGGGATGGATTTGCACAAATCATTGACAGAAGCGCACACACACACACACACACACACACACACTCCAGTATCTCCGAAACACAGAAAAAGAACCATGCTATATATTGTGCACATGGCAAAAAGGGATCATAACTAAACAAGTCAAATATTACATCTGGCCAGGAGCAAGAGACATTACATTTCTCATACCTACTAGACTACTATGAAAACCGAAAAGACCAAAATATACAGACTGCAGATATGAAACAACCTAGAGCAACATTTATAGTGCAATTGTAAAATGTGGCACATTTCTAAAAGAATATACATTGGGAAACAATGTAGAAAAGGACTTCATTTTTTCAATCTGGATTTGACTGAATAATATATTTATACTGTTCATTTTCCTACCTACACAGATTTGGTTATGTCAGCAGAAAATTTGTTTTAGAAGCAAAGAAATGTATTATATCCCAATGAAAGATTATGAAGTGTGGATATAATGAGAAAAAAGATGAATGTGCCAAAGCCTTTGCCCCACCAGGGAGGAACAAATGATGCACCATGAGGAGCTCAAACTCAGCCTTTGACATGAGATATGACATTCAGGGTTCACTGATGGAGTGTAAGGTCACATGCTTACATCCTCCCAACACCATCCTACAGAGCCACCTACTGTAACAACAGAAATAGAGAGAAACGGCACGACCCCAGCCTATTTTCCATTCGTGATCTCTCTCGTCCATTTCGTTTAAAAACAAACTTTATTCCTGCCTTAAGGACAGGGAGTGTTATCCCTCTCTAGGGATTTCACAATAAAAGATGTTAGACCACCGTAATAAATGGCAAAAGGTTAGACCTCGGTGTGTATTCTGTTGTGCTTGCTATTGGTATTTCACACTTAAAACTTGTAAGGCCAGGTGCACCGAGCATGTGTGTGTTTGCTCTTTCTGTCATCGTGTGAGAGAAGAGAGCAGTCGGAGGAGCGCTGGGGAAAGGGCAGGAAGAGTGCAAATGCTATCCTGAGCTATGACCTTTAGCGAAAGAAAAAAATCCCCACAAAGCCAAGCCTAAGGCTAACGTCTACAGAAAACTCTTAACTATTTACTAATTATTCCAAAATTTAAAATGTGTTGTGGTGGGTAGCCATTGTCCCAGCCCTTTGCCTCGCAGTGTGTGCGTCAGCATGCATAGGTTAAAAATCTGACAACTTGACCTTTCGCTGGAGATTACTTTAGTGAACTCATTAGCATGACTGTGCTCCAATGCACAAGGCATTCTGTGTAAACCAATGAGCGTGTCATGTATGAGAAAAAAAACGTCTACATACAGTGAAAAGCCACTAAAATCTGAAAAAAGGTCAAATCATCCAGTGTTGCACCAAATTAATCTTATATATAGGTCTATTATGGCAGATTAAAAAAGATGTTCATTTCGATTCTTGGCATATTTCATTCAATCATATATATATGATTTTTTAATTGCTGTTTCTTCACTTTGGAATTTTATTTTTATTAAAATTAATTAAAATGTAAAAATTTGTGAAATAAACAAAGCATTTCAATATTTTAAATGTGCTCTTTGGAAAAAAGAAAAAGAAAATTAAAAGTCACTTGTGGGCAGAAAATGTGTATTTTAGTTTTTTGGTTAACTGTAATAATCCTGTCTCATATATAGTATTTCAAAGTTGAATGGACTGATTGAAGCACCCTATTAGAGTGACCTTAATAGCCCTAACAGTGCTCTGTCTTGGGAGTAAAGCACACTTACTTTATGGGGCAGAAATAGAGAGTTGACACAGGAAATCAAACTTGCAGTGTCCTCAGCATCAGGCTGGCCACAGATAACAATCTACAAGAAAAATAAGAGATTGTTACACAGAACAACAAACTTGTGAGCAAAAAAAAAAAAAAGACTTATGAACCACCAAATGAACAAATGCGAAAAGAATAAAAAAGAAGAAGGAAGAGTCAGGACTGCTTGTACGGTGCTGTAATGAGGTGGACAGGTGTGATGTGCAGTGGGCTGCCCTTAGCTGGACCTCTAGCTTGTTATTCCTCCTACTCTGATGACTTCTCTGCCGCTGGTGAGCTCTGATGGCCATGACACATGTTCACAGCTCATACAATTGTCCAGGAACAGGAGGAAACTTTGGAAAAATGGCCTGACAGGGAAAACTTTTATCCAGCAGCATCATTCTAGTTGATCTGTGACAGATCCAAGCACTAACGGTCCTCATAGTGAGGACTGATGAACTGGCTATCAATCCTACTGTATGCACCTTTATAACAGAAGCAACAAGGGTCATACTGATATCCCAAAAAAAGCTTAGGAATCAGGAATGAGATACACCATTAAGCCTAGAGATTAGGGTTCAGAAGTTTGGGGTCAGTAAGTTTCTTTCTTTCTTTCTTTCTTTTTTGATCAATACTTTTATACTTTTCCACAATAATACTATGCAGCACAGCTGTTTCCAACATTGAAAGTAATAAGAAATGTTACATGAGCAACAAATCAGTATATTAATATAATTTCTGAAGGATCGTGTGACACTGAAGACTGGAGTAATGGTTGCTGAAAATACAGCTTTGCCATCACAGGAATAAATTACATTGTAAAATATGATAAAATAGAAAACAGTTATTTTAAATTGTAATAATATTTCACAGTATTACTGTTTTTAATGTATTTCATGATATCAAATAACTGCAGCCTTGGTGAGCATAAGAGACTTCTTTCAAAAACATTTTAAAAAATCATTAAACTGACCCCAACGTTTGAACGATAGTCTATGTATATATACACACAATTTTTATATCTGAGCTCCTAAAATTACACAACAATTGTTTATTACAGCATTAAACATGGATGGAAATATAAATGAATACAAAAGAAGCATCCAAAGACCAGCTGAAACCAAAATGTGATGCCAGCATATGCGGTGTCTCGCATGCTGATTTGTTGTTTTCCCCACCAGATTTCTTAACCAGCAAGACTTTTGTGGTCAACCAGCTTCACTGGCTGGTTTTGACACCTTTATGTTCAATAGGGCCCCTAAGTTGTATTTTCCAGAATGCTTGGCATGGCCCACACATGCCTAGGGAAGTTCAGGATCACTCTACAGATGCTCAGATCATTAAACTTGCGTGCACAATTGAGAGCTTCCTGTCAGGCTGCATTACTATCTGGTACAGTAGCAGCAAAACATTGGACCAGAAGGACGTACAGAGGGTGGTGCGGTCAGCTGCATATTACACCACAGGTGTATCGTCAACCTGCAGGACATCTACACCAGGTGGAACAGGAAAATCATTGAGAACAGAGTCCCTTGATCAAAGGTCTATCCTCAGTTCTGTTCTGCCTGGAGTCATAATCAATTTGAATTTAAGGCAAAAAGCACTGTTCACTAATAATTTCTTACACAGCTGGATAAATAAAAGTAAATTAATAAATATTTTATAAACAATATTTAATAATAATAATAATAATAATAATAATAATAATAATAATAATAATAATAATAATAATAATAATAATAATAATAATAATAAGCTCCTAAAATTACACAACAATTGTTTATTACAGCATTAAACATGGATGGAAATATAAATGAATACAAAACAAGCATCCAAAGACCAGCTGAAACCAAAATGTGATGCCAGCATATGATGTATGCGAGACATCGCATGCTGATTTGTTGTTTTCCCCACCAGATTTCTTAACCAGCAAGACTTTTGTGGTCAACCAGCTTCACTGGCTGGTTTTGACACCTTTATGTTCAATAGGGCCCCTAAGTTGTATCTTCCAGAATGCTTGGCATGGCCCACACATGCCTAGGGAAGTTCAGGATCACTCTACAGATGCTCAGATCATTAAACTTGCGTGCACAATTGAGAGCTTCCTGTCAGGCTGCATTACTATCTGGTACAGTAGCAGCAAAACATTGGACCAGAAGGACGTACAGAGGGTGGTGCGGTCAGCTGCATATTACACCACAGGTGTATCGTCAACCTGCAGGACATCTACACCAGGTGGAACAGGAAAATCATTGAGAACAGAGTCCCTTGATCAAAGGTCTATCCTCAGTTCTGTTCTGCCTGGAGTCATAATCAATTTGAATTTAAGGCAAAAAGCATTGTTCACTAATAATTTCTTACACAGCTGGATAAATAAAAGTAAATTAATAAATATTTTATAAACAATATTTAATAATAATAATAATAATAATAATAATAATAAGTATTATAATTATTATGTTAATAATAATAATAATAATAATAATAATAATAATAATAATAATAATAATAATAATAATAATAATAATAATAATAATAATAATAATAAGTATTATAATTATTATGTTAATAAATATTTACATATAATATATAAATAAATATAATTAATAATAAATGTAAATATATTCAAATAAATAAATAAATAAATACATAAAACAATGTTAAATAATACATAAAAATAATAATTATAATAATGGTAAAATAGAAAATAATAATTAAGTAAGCTAACAAACAATACATACTTAATTTATAGTTTAAATAAGGTTTACTTAAATCATAAATATTGAAAATATACATCTTAGAAAGTGTTTATAAAACTAATCAGAAGCATATAGTGAAAAACTGTCAAGACTTGGACTTGAGATTAGACTTGTGCCGGTATTCGGTAATGCCATATATCACGGTAATGAATATGCACGATATTGTTATCCTGGGCTCTTCTAAATACCGTTGGAGTCTGAATCTAGCATAGGGACTTGAGAACATGTCTGTCTTATTGTAGTATTCAGTCAAGGAGGCTTAAAAAATAACATTTCATTGCCATTGCATCAGTTGGACATGATGTGACAAGTGAAACCGGACTTTTAAACTTCATATTCAGTAGTTGTGGACGAGACTGCAGTTACCTGCTTAAGGGTGTAATGCTGGGCCATGACACTGCGGACCATGTCTGGCAGGGCGACTGGCACCTTAATCAGTCTATCAGAGAAGGCAGTCAGTAATTGCTGTGGGCGTTGTATCCAGTCCTGCCGGCCTGTGAGGTGGGAGAGTCGCAGCAAGTTCATGGCTGAGACAGAGTTCGCACTGGGTTCTGCACCGTCCTGATCTGTAAAAAAAAAAATGTTTTAATGTAAAAAAGGAAAAGATACAATGGTATTCTAGTCAGATAAGTCCAGTCCAGCGTATCAGCCATGTTTTCAAACACATTGATGTAAACAGTCTGGCTTCTGGAAAAAACTGCATCATAACATTTATGGTTCCAATATCAATTTAACTGGAGCACATTTATCAGTTTAAGCAGAGCTATAAGTGTCTGATATCACAAGTGAAGTGGCTCTAGAGCTGTGAGTTGATTTACTTTATCTGCTCTTTGTTTGTGTGCAAAGAGGGTGTTGGGAGTGGGTTCCCCGTGCCTCGTGTCACAGTGTAGTGAGCTGATTGCATCTGGGAGCTGAGAGGGATGGAAGCGATGACTGATGAATAGCAGCAATGCTGTTCCAACTAAACTCATGCAGATGTTATCAGGTAGCTTGCTCCTTAGAAGACACAAGCACCACACATGGCCATTTACTGCGTGCAAGTCATGTCAGAATGATCGTATTTACAAGCTGAGCACACATGAACGGCACCACAAATCTGGATTTTCTTAAAGCTTGACAAGTTAGGAGTATATCAGTTTACGAATTCTGGTGGAAGAAAATAAGCATTGATCATAAATTGTAATTACGAACGTTGGAGGTAAAATTGGTTTGTATAGCTTGGGTGTAGAGTTTAGTAATAAAGCTTTCCAGAAAATACTAATAATTTGTCTGGTTTATGAGGAGACAGGATAGTGTGACCAAACTATTTCCCAACGTTCTCTCTCTCGCAGCAAACACATATATAAAACATCAGCTGCACCTCGAATGTGCATCCTTTGTGCTTTATTTTGTTGCATTTACTTTGTAGCTTCCCGAAATACACTACAGTTAGAAAGTTTTAAAAGGAAATAACAGTTTTATTCTGCGAGGATGCATTAAATTAATCAAAATGAGCATAAAATGAGAAATTTGTAATGTTACAAAGATTTCTATTTCAAATAAATGCTATTCATCAAAAAATCCTGAAAAAAAGTATCACAGTTTCCACAAAAATATTAAGCAACCACTAGAAACAATTAAAATTATTTCTGAAGGATCATGTGACGGTGAAGACTGGAGTAAAGGCTGCTAATAATTCAGCTTCATATATTAAAATACAAAATATTTACTGTAATTCAATTTCACAATATTATTCTTTTTACTGTGATTAGGTCAAATAAATGCAGCCTTGATGAGCGTAAAAGACTTCGTTCAAAAAATTGAAAAATCTTACCGAACCCAAACTTTTGAACAGTAATGCAGCTTCTTAAATGCCTCTTTACGACTCTTTAATGACTGTCTTTATGTGGAAGTGAAAAAGCTAAATAAATTATGACTATACTTATCATGATTTTCAAACTCATAATGTAGAACTTCCCAAGAGGACTTGAACACAGCATTGCATGTGGTCAATATGGAAAACAGGCTTTCTATTAAATACTTAAAATATTTGCACAGCAACAAAAATCTGTGAAGGACTCAAGCCCAAAATAAAGAAACCCAATAGCTTTATTTTAGAAAATCTAGTGGCTACACTGCCTGTGGTTTTTACAAAATGGCAAAGCTGACTGGTTTTTGTCTCGTCTAGTTTGGGCAAGGCGTAAAATGTAGAGTGGCAGATGCTTTGGGAGGCAATCCGTCTTCCACCGACAGAGAGAGGTGAAGGGACTCGGTTCTGAGACGTGACGGCACCGCATGACTCCTAATGGAGCCAACTCTGGCTCACTATATTATGGCCCAGTCACTCAAAAAAGATGAAAAATCTGTCTTATGTCTATTTTAATTTATCAGAAGCAACAACAAAAAAATAACAGTTAGCTTTCTCAGCTCTCATCCATATCTCATTGGTGTCAGTGCCATTTTCACAGTGCCATCAGTCACGGCCCAGGCACACTGGTGTGACTATTTGCTCACATCAGCTCGTACTACCAATTCCTGCAGAGAAAATATGGAGCCAAGCCATTCGGGACATTAAGCCCCGGCACTTATATAGTTCGAAAGTATGTGTGCGGACAAAAAAAGAATGAAAAATCACTCTCTCATTCCACTTCCATAGCAACGTCACGCAGAAGGTGATGAATGGTGCACAGCGTGAAATAAAAGGGATGTGGTGTTACTTCAAGGAAATATCAATTGCTTTAACAAAACAGTCTTTGATGTACTGGATCAGTCTTCTATATTGGTCAAATTCTACCCAGAAACACGGAGAGGGTGGAGGAGGAGATATTGGAATTCATCAGAAGACGGACTGGAAAAAAAATGGTGTGAAAAAAGGCAGTGTGTTTGGGTGAGATAAAAAAGAGAGAAGGACATTACAGCATAATAAAAGACAGCGATGAGGTTACGTAAGGAGAGAATGGGGGGGTATGTCTGGCTGAAACAGAGTTACCCAGGCGAGGGTACATAGGAGCGCAGTGTGGTGGTGCTATCAGCGGTGGAGTGATTAAGAATGTAGACTGACAGCTACAGATCTTCATCATCCTTTCCGTGACTCACAGCCACCCACACATTCCCAAAGCAAAAAGCCTAAATCCATAGGCTTTCCACACCCTTAATACAGGGTACCGTCACACATGATGTTACATTTCTGCTCCTCACCCTGTTTGAGAGCTAACAGCAGCGTCGGATCTGAGGGGTCGCTGCAGAAGTAGCCGCTGCCCTGGGAATCCCAGAAGAGCTGATCCTGCCTCAGCTGGAGTTCTTCAGCCCACTGCAGCCAGTGGACCCTTTGCGTGGCCTCAAACAGGTCCAGCAGTCCACAAACCACAAAGGTGTAGTCATCCAGGAAGCCTGCAATGGGAGATGCACTGGAGAGAACATTATAGAGAACATTAGTAGAGAAGGTCAAGATCTTCTGTTCTTCCACAAATACAAATTCAATTTCTTGTTAATGTTGGGTTGACCTGCGTAATAATGTCAGGTTAACCTATGCTGGGTTGATCGACATAACATAAGCTCTATTGACTGCAACTGTGTGATTCTGCCAATTTCCCGCAGAAATAGTTTAAACTCCAAAAGAATGGAAAACGCATTTACAGTGATGCACGTATCAGTGGAAGCCTTGCAAACAAGAAATGAAGAGGGTTCACAGCAGGAATTCAAAACTCATAAACTCTATGGATACCTTGTATTCACTGTAAGCTACTTCCTGTGAATGTGCGAGACTTCCGATTCATTAGCCGCTGCTGGTAAATAACTACAAGAATAACGTGCAGAAAACAGTTTAACCAGAGTTATTTTAGTATCATTATGAAACTATTATGGTTTTATATTTTGAATTAGTTTTGATTTTTATGTTTTCCATTTTCATTTTTAGTTAATGTTAAAGTAATTTTGATCTGTTTTTGTCATTTGTAGGATTTTTTTTTTATATGTCTACACAGTCTTTATCAATTTTATTTCGGTTTCAGTTTGAGGTATTTTATCAAGTTAAAATAAATTAAATTGAGAAATGTTGTCTTGGCAACTAGCAGAAATAAAAAAAAAAGTTTACGTTTATGTAACATTTATCAGTAACATTTATTTTATTTTAAGTAGCAATGTTTTTAAGGTTTTTAAGGTTTCTGTGCAACTAGTGACATATGGAATTGCAGAAATAAGTTTCAAACACTTCCCCATCTTCCACTGGACGACAAACAGTCCCACTCCAAATTCACAGCACTACTTGAGCCAATGAACAAAAAGAAGTCTTGCTGAGAGAAGTGTGTCATTTCTCTGGAAGGTTACGTTATGATATTTTAATTCAAAATTACATATATATCGCTCACAATAAGATCAATAAGATGCATAGAGGGGGTGAATTTTCATTTCATACCAATTTAATCAATTGCGGAACAAGCAGGGATTATTGACGCATGCCACAAATGCAATCTATAGAGATGCCTTTGACCTGAAATGCTATATTACTACAACACAGAATCAGGATGCACATTGAAATTAAAAAGCAAAAAGATTAATCTCAATGAGCTTCAGTGATATTTCAATCATGACATTCTATGGCCGGGTGTAAGCTTAATTTAAATAGGCCTTTAAGAACTAAAGTAGTTTTTTTTTATGAGTTCTCCTAAACTTACTTGTCTAATAAAATAAGACAGTGGAGGCAGAACAGTCTCTGTTTACTGAAAGTGAAACTTTCACCCCACTGAAGCACCGTGTGAACGCATAACAGCCCCAATGAGAAAAATACACATCACACACACTCACAGGGTAAAGTTACTGCATGAATTACATCCTATTTCAGTCTATTACAATTGCTCATGTCCATGGTACTTCTTTTCAGAGGGCTTCATGTTGATTTGCTGCCAGAATTGGCTGTTGCAATCCATGACATGAAATTGGAGGGAAATGTCAGAGGCAGTCGTTTTGTCTGTCACTCAACTTCTGTTATTAAAAGGAAAGTTAAAAGGGGGAAAAAACAGAATGGAAGCGAATGTTCTACTTAAAATGTTCAAATTCCTCTTTTTCCATACAATATGTTTAATAAACAAGTTTGGAATTACATAAAAATGTATTTATTTATGGGTGATCTGTCTCTTTAATCAGTAAGCATGACAAAAAAGGGTGAGATTCAGACGGTTAAGCAGTCAGTAAGTATGACATGCCCTACCAAATCACTGATTGAAATGCATACAAAGACATTTAGCAGGACCTTTGTGGTATAAAAGCCATTTGAAATTCCTTTTGAGGTGGTGTCACCCAAAAAGATTGCAAAAGTCTTTGATGTTTAAAATAAATTTGATTCAGATCACATCAAGGCCCTTCATCACTTGTTCTCAGACCCTTGAACAGAGGTGGCACTGTAGCCAGCTGAGTGTGAGGAAACAGATAGTGACAGGTCTGAAGATAGTACAGTGTCGGCAGCAGGACGGACGAGACGGGTCTAA